TGGTTTCTCATGGAGGTGAGAAATCGAGTACAGTAGCCACTTTTGGGGCATGGCCTCTGACTGACTAGGGTGTAGGGGGAAAGGGGTGGCCTGCGTGTTAGAGAAGCAAAGCGCAGTGAGACCAGTGCCACCAAGGACGCCTTCTCTCAGGGGCGGCGGGCTGCCCAGTGTCAGTCACACTGGGAATCCAAATGGAAGTAGCGGTCAGAGCTGGCCAGGGTGACTGCGTTCTAGCCTTGGGAAAATGTCACAAAAGTGACTGTAGCTGCTGTGAGAGAGCAAGGAGCATTAGCCATGCTGCCAGCAGACCTCTGGGGAGTGCCTTCCAGCCTCCCTGTCCTTGGATGGCACACAGCAGTGGCCAGTTTGGGAAGAGACAAAATGAAACACCTCCTTCTAAGGGATTTTCCCCCTCAAAGCCCAGCCTGTGCTGTTCTTGGGCTTCTTAGAAGATGTGCATGCAAAGAAAGATTGCGCTTCTGTCTTTGAAGTGCATCTTCCTTTACGACATTCCTAGTTTGGCTGGCATTCCCGTGCCTGGGACTTTACGAGGGCCACAAGTGCAGACTGATGAAATGTGCCTTTGGTGTGCGAGGTAAGCGTGATGTGACTCAGAAAAAGGGAGGCGCTGTCTCACAAATTCCTCCGAAACGCCCACTCTGCATTTGCAGCGGAGTCCGTTCTAAATGAACAATCTCCACTTACATTTGGTTACAAAAATCAGACTCTGTGGTTCGCTGGAGCTCTCTCTGTGACAGCGGCACCGAGTGTGGGCCCTGGGATCGGGTCTCATCTCACCCTCTTGCCCTTTTCCGTGTAAGACTCCCTCGAAAGAGGGACGCTGGCAGTGGAGAAATCACCGATGAAACAAGACAGAGTCCTGTGTTACTTTGAAAACTTTTCATAAAATTAGCTCTATTCCCTTGATTTTGAAGTTGAGAAGAAGAAATATTTTAGGTACCTGAGGATCTTTGATGTCCCATGATTTCTGCAAAAAGCTCCTTAGTGTCCGTCGCCTCTGTGGCTCTCGGGTGGCTTGGAGAGCAGAGTGGCCGCGCCTGGGAGGCTCCTTTTGGTCTCCACCCTTCCTCTGACCCTCCAAGAGGAAGCATTTTCTCCCTCGTGTGTCCCTGCCTCTAAAACCACCTCACGAGGCCTCTCCCCACGGGCGCTGGGTTGCACAGCTTACAACTTGGAGGTCCTTAGTCTGTGTGCTTCCCATCAGCGAGCCTCTCCCTGCAGCTGTGGGAGCCACATCTGTATTCTGAGGTGTTTCCCTTGCTGTGTTTTTGTGTTTGTTTTCTCTGTGACCTGAGGTGTTTTTCTACCTTTGACAGGCAGAGAAATTACCTTCCAGCAGGTGGTTACCGGCCCTTGCCACGCTGCCGTAGCTCTAGGCGTGTAGTCTGGTTGAGGTTGGAGATAGCAGCGTTTTGGTGTTGTGTGAGACGTGTTCGTGAGAGGAGCATGAGAATCACAGAACAACAAAATTTCAGCAAGTGAACAGAAAAAAAATCCCGTTCCAATCTGCATAGATTTTTGGTTTTTGGTTTTTTCCCCAGTACTGGGTATTGTTGGATTGCACCCAGGGATTTGTGTTGAGCTATATTCCCAGCTGCCTGCCTGCCTGCCTTCCTGCCCTCCCCTGTCCTTCTGTCTCTTTCTCCCTCCTTCCCTTCTTTCCTTCCTCCTCTCTTTCCTCCCTCCCTCCGTTCCTTCCATTCTTTTGACAGGATCTCACTGAGATGCCAAGTTGCCCAGGCTCGGCTCAAACTTTCCATCCTCCTGCCTCAGCCTCCCAGAATGTTGGGATTCCAGGCATGCATCACTGTACCCAGGCCCTTCCTTCAGCTTCTGAGTGGTCACATCATCATATGTGAAAGCAAGGGAGGGTGGAAGGAGTGAGCTGAGCACTGTTAGCTATGTCTCTCCTTTCTCTGCTGAGTTAACTATGGCAGCACCCAAGCTCTCTTCTCCTGTTTGTGGCCCTCCTCCTTCACCTGCAGGCCCTAGTCTTCTTTCCACCGTCTGAACATGCCTTTGTGTCTGGTTGAGCCCAGTCAGGAGAGCCACAGGCCTGTGGAGCTGGCTGGAGGAGGTGCTGTGGGTGACTCAGGTGCGGAGCATGGAGTGCTGGCTGGGTTTGAGCATGAGGCTGTCAGAGCCCTCTCCAGAAGCACTGTTTTTAAGAGGGCAGTCATTTTTATTAGTGTGTGCTTTGGAATACACAGTAGTTCTATTCATTGTGGGGCATCAGTACATGTATGTAGCATTTCTAGATCACTTCCAATCCCTCCCCCCTCTCCTCCCCCTTCGCCAGCAGTTCCGCCTTATGCGCGTTTTAGGTTTCTCATATAGGGGAAGCCATAAGGTACTTAACTTTCTGTGTCTGGCCTATTTCACTTAACATGAGGGTTTCAAGTTTCATCCATTTCCTTGCAAATGACAGGATTTCATTTTTCATTTTAGTGTGGAGTTTGGACATTGGAGCTGGATTCAGGTAGTTGAGAATTTGAAGTAAAAGTGAAGAATTTAACAGGATAGACCACCTTTTTTTGAGAAGTTTGGTTCTGAAAAGGAGACGGGAACTGGGAAGGGAAGGAGCTGCAGAGATGCAGGACTGGGACATAAATACAGGCCCCTGGAGACAGGGGCTGCAGGGACAGGAACAAGTGTAACCGACGTGACCCTGAGGGCTGTGAGGGCTGCAGTGACAGCCAGAGGACAGCTATGGTGCACGTCCTGACTCTGCCAAGATGTACTTTCCTTATGACGAGGAGACTCAGTCTTACCCAGGGACCCATGGCTTCTAAAGGTGGGTCCCCTAGGTCTGTCTGCCTGGAAAGGTTGTGCTTCTGCTCTAACACAGCTGCATGGGAACGTTTTTATAGAAGTATGTTCTCAACACGCTTCAGGAACCCAGAGAAATCCAGTGATGTGGGCTGTATAACGTGAATTTCCTCCTAGAACTGCTCGCACCCACGTACACCACGCCAGCTTATTGAGAATATTGTTCATTGATTCACACCTGAAGTCTTGGTGGTTATTGAGGGCCAGGCTCCATGGTACTATCTGGTCAAGAACTATCGAGTTAGGTTCTGATGTTTTGAAAGGTGCAATAATTGCTCTTAACTGTGAACATAAGAGCAGCTGTCTACTTGGCTCTCCCCACGGGGTAACTATAATATTCTAAAGCGTCCTGCGCGTGGAAACCGTGTGGCTCGTGATTCCAGCATTGTATAGGAAGCTCCTTGAATTTGGAGGCAAATGATGTGACATCAGGAAAAGCCATGGGAAGAATAACCAATATCAGATGCTTTTTATAATTTAATTTCTACCTGTTCCCAGACTGAATTGAACTCTGGAAAGAATGCTTTTTTTCACAGTCACAAAATACATTTCACTATGCAGCAAATAACACGCAGCTCTGAGGTTTTCTCAGCTAATCACAAGGGAGAGAATCCACTGCAATTTTATTGTCTGTTGATAAACATTTTTTGCCTTATGGCAGCCAGTTCTAATTAGATTTATTTTTAAACCCAGGTTCTTAAATTATACTAACAGAAAACAGTAAAACGAGATGATTATTCTAATACAGAAAACATAAACGCACCGAAACTGCCTGTCCTGCCTTGCTGGCTTCACACCTGCGCTGAAGCACGCCCTGGGTGGGGAGTGACTGGGTCCTGGGAGCTTGGCAAAGTGCTGCTCAGGCAAGAGTCAGGTGCCGTGTTGGCTGAGTGGTGTAAATACTTGAGATCAGGTCTGTTGAGTAATAGGAAAAGCAAATCAAGTCTGGAGTAAACCAGGGTACAGACCAGTTACATTCCTAAATGTACTTCCAGCTTTTTCCTTCCAATTTGTTTTTGTGCTCACTACAAAGAAATAGTTGATACGGTGACACTAAGACCAGTTTTCCACCTTGCTGATGTATTATTCTCACCTTTTTTTTTTGGTGGTACTGGGGATTGAACCAGGGCCTTTTCACTGAGCTGCATCCCCAGCCTCCGCAGGTGGTCCTAGTGTGGGACTCAGTACCTGGAGTTTCTGCTTTGCTCCTTTGTGGTTATTTAGCTCTCGGTTCAGGTGGCAGCTACCAGGAGCTTGGCAGAGGTCAGACATGAGAAAAACAAACCCTGGTTGCTTGTTGAAGGTGAGTAGTCCAGGGTTCGGGTTCCTTGTTCTTCTCTTAAAGAAGCGCACTGAAGATTAGGCCAGAACGTCTTATCTCCCCAGAGTTTGCCACTGGGACTGAGAATGGAGATGCCTGGCCTTCCTGGGAGCCCCCCGGTGGCAGTGACCACCTGCTTATTTTCTTGGCCTTGGGACTTAGGAAGGAGAGGATGATTTGAGGAAGTAAGATACTGGATGGTGTTAGATGGTCCGAGCTACCTTTTAAAGCACGTCTCTGAGAGGACTGTCCTGCCCGTGAGTCCAGCTGGCATTAGATGCATTCAAATAATTATAGTTTCTGAAGTTCCTCCAGAAGTGTTGGCCCAAACCGATTGTCTCCGTTTCATTGGTTCCTTATGAAATGTATCTTTAAAAACAGAATGAAAGGGCTGGGGATTTAGCTCAGTGGCACAGCGCCTGCCTGGCAAGTGTGAAGTCGTGAGTTCAATTCCTGGTACCGGGAAAACAAACAAAAAAAAAGTGAAATTCTTAGTAGCCTATCCTGCCCAAAAGTAATCCAGGTGAAGAATAATAAACTGCTCTCCGGAGGGAATGGTGCATTTTCCCTGTGACCAAAAGAGCCGTTGAGTGTCTACCACCCCCTCTAGAGAGCACTTCCCACTTTGCTGGTGAGAAGTGTGGGTTTCACACCCTCTTTAGCCCCGAGTCAGCCTCCAGAGTCTTCTATCAGACTTAATCACAGCTCTTCGCTTAATGAGGGTGTACAGCGAACAACTCCTAAGTGTCAGTGTGCGGTTTTCAGAGCATTTTTGTTGGAGCAGGAGTGAATGCAGTTGTAGCTCATCGTGGTTATTTTTCCCCAACAGGTTCTTAGTATGATCATCAATGCAGCCTATAAGCCTGGGAGGGTACTAAGAGAGTTACAACTGGTGGAAGATCCGTACTGGAATTTTCAGGAGGAGACACTGAAGGCAAAGTAAGTGTTTTGAATCTCAGAAAGTAAGAGTTCTTCTAATACTTTACCGTTCCTTTTGACACTTGACCTTCCTGGTTTTGTATGCCTAGAGAAGTGAGAACAAATAGAAGAGCCCTGTTCCGCACTTCTCTGTGGTGGTTTTGCTATGCAGAGTTGCCCAGAGCCTTCGAATCCCTACCATAAAGTAAATATTTGCTTAGCAAACACTTTTATGGTACACGTTCAGATTATAACCTTAACTGTGTTTCTGTGCCCATAGATGATTTATTTGCTGATGAAAACACAGTAAGGAAAGTTTATCTCTTGTTGTCATGACAAGTATGTGTCATGATAGCTCTTAATAGTTGACCATGTAAGCTGGGCATGGTGGGCTATACCTGTGGCCTCAGCTCTTTGGGAAGCTGAGGCAGAAGGATCACAAGTCTACGTCTCATCTGGGCAACTTGGTGAGCTTGTGTCTCAGAGAACAAACAAAAAATAATAAAGGGGGCAGGGGCTCTAGCTCAGTACAAAAGCCCCTGGGTTCACTCCCTGGTACCACCAAAAAAAAAAAGGTAATGTAAAAAGAGTAATTTGTGCCAAATATGAAAGTTTTCTACTCTGGGATTTAAGAGTTTTCAAAGATGAAAGGAAACTATATATCTGCTTGGTTTGAGTTTTAAATAAAATGACTTGGGGCTCTGGCTTGACATATCATCCAGTACCTTCCTTCTTTTATTTGGAAATAAGCTCATTGGAAAAGTGAAAATTCTTTTGCTTCATTTTAAGTGTTTTGACCTCTGCAAATGAGGGCAGGAACTGTAATCAGTGTGCTTGAACTTGACTGTTGAGGAGGTAATGACCCATTTCTCAAGATAGCGTCGTGTTAAATCATTGCTTCTTCTGAGATGGCTTTCAACATTCATTTATGGTTTACCAATAGAGAAAACATTGGTGTTTGACAGCTTTTATAACAGTGTCCTAATTAATCTTTTATATATAATATTTAGGATGTGGTGTTTTGTTGTTGTTGTTTCAGACAGGACCTCACTGTGTAATTCAGGCTGCCCTTGAACTTACTATGTAGCCCAGACTGCCGTGAACTCAAGGCAGTCCTGCCTCAGCCTCCCAAGTGCTGGGATTATTGGCATGCACCATCATGCCTGGCTAAAATGGTGCTTTTGAAAGTGTGAACTACTTTTTCATGGCTAGAGTGTATCTGAACTCATCTGTAAAGAATGTACCAATCTTGTTGATACTGAAAATCAGGGGAATTCTTAGTGATTTGTCTGATCAGTGGCCTGTTTCAGTGTGGTTAATTCTGACTGTGCCAAGTGGAGACAGTGAGGTATCAGGCTGCTACTAGACAGCATCAGTAACGCACTCAGTATTCCTGATGTCTTTTTATAACACCTCTGTTATTTTAGATTCTGTAAAAATCATTTAAGGTCTAATGATAGGCTGCCAAGTCTCAGAGACTAAGAGGGATATATGTATAAATAAGGAGAGGATTTATTTGTATAAAGTTGCGTGGCAGTGAAAGGTATTACTACATAGCATCATTCTCTTCCTTCCCAAGAAATACTTAAATGAGCCTCCTCTCTAGTGCAGAAAAAAAGCAAAACACATGTTTTACTGCCTAATATTCCATAGATGTCTAACTTAGTTAAGGGAGAGATCGTCACCCACAGTGGAGCGTTTTCTTCTAAGGTCATGTCAGCCTCGGTGGCAGGAATCTTGAGTAAGTGTTAATGCGGATAAATCCTCCTTCTTTTAAAAGTTTTTGGTTCAGTTCAATGGAACCCAGATACAGCTAATAGATATGGAAATAGTGAAGAGACTGGAATCTTCAATCCCATTAAAAGCTCTCCTGCTTCTAAATCAGCCAGTAACTTGCTCCAGATACCAGAATGACAGTGAGAGTTCATTTTATGAGTGTTTGCACTTATTTTCGTGTTACCAGGTCGATCAGAGTTTTATTAAATCCAGCCTGATACAATCAAAACAGACACGATGAAATCCATCCCGGCTAAATTGTAAAGGCAACGTATTACCTGTTATTACTAAAGATGACAGGACGTTCCCCAGCAAAGTCTTACACAGCAACTTATAATGAGGAGACGTCTATCTGAGCAGGGCTTCAGCCGTGCTAGATCAGAGGCAGCGTCTCCAGGCAGCTGCTAATGATGACAGGTTTACAGTCAGCAGGAGCCTTCCCGGGGCAGCCCTGTGTGTTGAGTCACCTCTTTCCCTCTGGTGGAAAATGACAACTTTTTAGATTATGACAACTGTGCTATTTTCTTGGGTGCAAATGGGAGGAGACAGAGCTGGCTTCTTCCCATTTACTGAAAGGTAGAAATGTTTTCTGTCACGAGTAAAGTAGCAGAGCAGAGGAGAGACCTGCGTTTAAGGGATAAAGTGGTCATGGCTATTGTGGGGGCCGAGTTGGGTCCTCAGGAAAGGAAGGCCTTGTGATCTTCCCCGGGGCTGCGTGGTTGGTGTAGTCCAGTGTTTACTGGCTGGTGTTCTCCAAGGAACGAAGATCCTTTTACTTGACAGGTTGAAAGTGCCTTTGGAAAGGCTTTGACCTGTAAATACAACAAAACTAACACAGTCATGTACATTGTCTTCATGATTTGTTCTCTCTAGCCCACTAATCATACCTTTTATGCTACTGGGGAAATGAATGCAATATTTGAACAACAGGTAAGTTGTCTCTCTTGTCATCAGTCCTCAACGTACATCAAAAAGCAAAAATGTCCTAGCTGTAGTGTGAAGAAAAAGTAGATTCTAATACAGTTTATTTCAGCTGTTCTGGAAGAGAAGACTTTCTTCTTTCTGATGACTTTAGGTATTTTAAATTGACCTACAATTTTAAAAATTTCCGGAGAAGGAATCTACGTTGTCCCTCCAACTCTACACATCTAGAGACATTTAAATATGTATGTTAAGTGTCTTATAAAATCTTCATGGGGCAAAAAAATGTTAACTCAAATTTGAACAGCTTTTGTGCTAACTGTAAAAGCCAGGTGAAGGCCTAACAGATTTCAGGCCTTTATTTCAGGTATTCAGAATATTTAAAGAGGAAATATGCTGATATAATTTCAGTTAGACTTCATTATCACTTAGAGGCAGGAAGATAAATCAGATCTATATACTTCTAGGTAAGACAGGCTCAGCTCTCTGGAAATGTTTTGGTTTCTTTGTAATAAGCAGGCTAATTTTGTATGTGCTTTTGTTTATTCCACCCACTTTTTAAAAATTTTTTTAAAAATTTTGAGGCAGGGTCTTGTTAAGTCTGTCAGTTGCTCAGGCTGGGCTTGAACTTGCGATCTTCCTGTTTTAGCCTCCAAGAGTGATGGGACCACAGGTGTGTGCCACCACGCCCAGGTCGCTGCTTCTGCACTTCTTTTTTGGTTTGTTTTGTTTCACTTTTGTCCTTCAGTCAAGCCTATCTTTTATGAACAGTAAGATGTAGTGTTTGGCTATTGGAGATCGATGTTAATGCTTGTTTACCTTGCTCAGATGAGTGAGATGCGCTGTCCTGAAAATGGGCACGGCAGACTTGAGCAAGCAGATGAGGAAGCCTGACTGAGCTGCGGGCCCCACTTCTCCACGTCCTTAAATTCATCCTGTTATGGTGCCGAGTCCCTGGTGCAAAGGCGGAGCAGTTTAGGACGTTTTGAAGAAGAAGCACCTCTCCTAAAATAAAGGCAGAGCAGTTCAGGATGTTTTGAAGAAGTAGCTAAAATAATAAAATAAAATAAACTTGGTAGCCCCTTTGTGCATAGTTCCTCTTGAAATATAGGAAGTAAAAGGAAAGAGGGAAATTTCAGAGCAATTAAGTGTCACGAGAGTGAAAGGCGGTGTGAGCCGTTACACCACCCCCAGTGTAGATGGAGGCGGTGAGGCCGATGAAGTAAAAGCTTGGTTTTGAGGAAAAATCTCAACTGGTCTTACTGTGAAGAATGTTTTCCTTACAGCAAGCAGAGCTTCCCTGTTTCCTTGGTTTGTCTTTTACTTCTTCAGGCAGTCTTTGGCAAGGTGAACTCAGTTTAAGAATGGGAAACTGGACCTGCACGCCTTTACCCCCATCACCACCTGATGAGATTTTACTAAGAGGTCCTGAGAGGTGTCATTTGGAAGGTGAATAATAGACCTTAGGCCCCATTGATGACATTCTGTTTGGACTGTGCTGTTAGTTACGAATCATTACATTGTTTTGTGCCTCAAAATCCATTCGGTTTTTTTCCTCCAGTCTTAACCTACTGAAGAAAGGACCAGTCTTCCTAGCACCCCTTTCTCTCTCTTTCTCGTTCTTTCTACTCTAGCAATTAGCCCTGGCACAGGGCAGTAAATCCTTTCATGTTAGGAAGAAAAACCTGGAAGGCCATGCATGCTGCCTTACTGAAGTCAGAGAGGGGAAGAGTTTCCCACAGAACCTCTTAGGTTTTATGCCCAGGATCCTGAGAATTAAACTGACGGAAGACACATTCGCAGGCGACCCAGGGGAGCTGACCTATGTGTAGGAATGCTCAGTGATGAGCACTCAAAAAGGCCATTAGAACTTGAGGGTCCTGTAGCTACCTTAGTAGGATGAGACAGAGTGGGGAAAAGACTTCAACAGAAAGACGGGATTTCTCTGAGAAAGGAAAGTTGGATTGTAGGAGGACAAACAGGAGATAAGAAAGCTCATGATAAGGTCTGTTTATGCGGGTTTGAGTGGGCTTTTCATCTTTGCCAACATGAAAAGTTCCTTTGGAGAGGGGATTTAGGATGGGTCTGCTTGACTGTCTCTGCTGGGAGTAGAAGCTGCCCCAGAGCAGATTTATGGCAGTCCTCATGAAGCTGGCTGCTTTGTCCCTTTCATGTGTCTCCGTCATTCTTTGATATTTATTTATTTATTTATTTATTTATTTTCTGACTCAACAACGTGGTCCAAACCCCTCTCCTTTCCTGGCCCCAGTCCTGGAATTAGCCATTTCTCCAAGGAGCTTTGGTTTTCCTTGTGGTCTTGTGAT